ACATCCATCCTCCATTGTTGGAATTATGCATGGATGAAACATTTATCTCTGTGATGTTATCAAATACTGTGGTGATCTGAGGCATTTACATTGTTATAAGGAGATAACATGTTGTTATATTAGTAATGTTCCCATTGCTGGCATAAGTTGCTATGTAATTTCCAGGAAATACTGTGCAGGTACATAAATAAGTCATCTCACTTCTGACTCTATTCATTTTGCATGACAAAAAACTTAAATTCACACTGTCCTTAAAACTCCAGGCATCGTTATTGTGAAGAATAGCTCAAATATAAGACTAGGTGTAATATTTGCATAGAGTTTCCCAGTCTTTGGTAGTACTCACAAGCTATGTTGAGTAGACATGAGCCCCTCCTTTTGGAGACGATCTTTTTTCTGTTGGATCACGGTTTACCCATTTTCATCTTGGCAGTACACCACATTACACCTTATTGGCATAAACAAAGATCACTGCAGTTTTGGTAGTAGAAAGTCTGTCATCTTCTCTACCATGCATGGGTGACAGTAATTGTTGTATGAAAAGTTGATTTCTTTAGGCTAAATGGACACAGTGACAGAAAGAACAAAGGTGGAAGATGTTCAGATATTTTGTTTGGATTAGGGGTGTATGTAGGTGCATGATTTGGTTCATTTCCAGCTATACCTGCTGAAAGATTTAGACAACTTTTAGAGCAAGCCAGTGGTACCTTTTCTTAATAGGTACCAATTCCCATTTGTATCCTTGCCCATCAGAAGTATAAAGGTGCACTGGTATCGAGTTTTGCCCAAGGTAATACTTTTGGTGAAAGTTCAGGTGGGTTGCAGTAGTTGTTTACAGGAATGTAGGTACCTTGCACAACTTTGGAAGGAGTAAATCAGATAAAACCATGCTCCCTGTTTGCTTTTTATCACGACTCCTACAGAAATTTAAAGGACACTTCCCCAGTCGCTCTAATTTCAATGTGGTTTAGGGAGGCGGTGTGATTCAGCGGGCTGGACATGGGTTTCCTCCTTTGTAATGTTATTTATTATTACTTAAACCTGCTCTGAGAACTATGGGTGAAAAGCTAAGTTATTCCTCTGAAACAGAGATTATTCTTACTGGGACTCAAAAAAATTGACTGGGTTGAGTATCTCCATATGGTAAAATTCTTGGAGGTGGCTTCTTTGAAGGGAGGCAGGTGGCCAACTTTGGACTGAGGGATCTCAGCTGGAAGTCTTGGACCTGAGCAGATACTATGCTTAAATGTTCGTAACTGAACTGAACTACTGACTAGTAGTTGAAGGTGTATAATAATTTATAGGCAACTTTTAAAACATTCACCTGCATCATGGGGAGAGGGGTTTTGGCCTAGATTTTTTTCTTTGGCCGAAAAATGAAGAGTTATTAGAAATTGTGGCTCTGAATCTGCTTACTCTAGTGGGTTGTGTGGTGCTCTCCTACGAAATGCAAGAAACCGGATTATGTATACAAACTTAATTCAGCCTCTTTAGCCCTAGTCGTTAAGTACATTATTACGTAGTCCTTGCCTGTCAGATCTGGGTTCATTCAAAGATGAACCCAGATGCCAATGATCTGGGCTCTTTCAAAGATGCTAAAGATGAACACTGCTTGCTGTTAATGAATGCCGCTAATGAGTTTTGCGCTCAGTCATTTCTTTTCCCCCTGTTGTTCAAGTTAGAGCTGCAGGCCTTTTTTACTTGGCATTATTCAAACCTTGGTGTGGAGACAGAGGTCTTCGTTTCGGTGTGGGCTCTTCATCACTACAGTGTTCAATGACTTAAAGATATTAACTGGTGTTTGCTGGTGGAGGAGCAGCAGAAGCTTGGGATCCTGGTTCCAGCCCGGGCTGCGCAGAGGAGCTGCCCTGGTGAACGCAGACTCTTTTGCTTGCTTTTCCAAACATGACGGCATCTTCTCTGTTCCCTCCAAATTGATCGTTTCCCAGGCTTGTCTCATCCTTGGGCTAGACCCTCTTTCCAAGCTTTAATTTCTCCGCCAGCATAATGCCGCTCTCCATCCCTCTGCTCTTTGCCCAACCTATCCGAATCTCCCTCTCAAAGTGTCCTTCTCTGGCCCTTCTGACCATATTCCCCACTTCCTCCTGCTCTCAGTCCTGACCTCTCATTTCTGGGGCAGCTGGGCCAACATAAATAGCTTGCCCCTGCTAAAAGGGAGAAAGAAGATCATGTGCTTTGTCTTCTTTCACTTGTCCACTTCCAGACGTACAAAATTCCCCGTTCCAATTTACTCATATCCTTCCCCAGTGTGCTGGCTTCTTTCTCTGTTTCATTGGCTTAGAAAAGCTCCATTTATCTTAAATAGTAATTTTTGTAATAAACAGTACAAAAGGTGTAGTTTTGCAATTGTTTCTTTTGGGCAGTGCCTGGTTAAACAAGCCACTGCCCTCTCTCCTCCTCTTTGTCCCCACGCCTGCTCCTGTGCCAGCACAGATGCCCCTGCAGCCACGTTGCTGCTATAGTGGGAAACCAGTCTTGGTTAGAAGTAACCCAGCACCAATAAAAGGCTCTTCTTCTCTCAAACAGGGCCACCACACAGATTTGGACTGATGCAGCTGAAGGGCTGGTAGGAAGCTGGTGATGAGGGATTGTGTAAATGGGTGGCAAGCCAAAAAAAATCTTAGTGAAACTTCAGTCCTCATTTCCTTCCATGTTTCAGTTCCCAGTCTTGCCCCAGTCAGCAGGACTGGGAGCAGCCACCAAAATGAAAGTCCTTCCGAGTCGTCACAGTCGGGAGCAGGGCCAGCAGTAGGAACTGAGCTTGCAGCTCTGTGTGCACCATCTTTGCAGCACTACTGGCTTAAGGAGTATTCCTTCCCTGTGTTTTCAGCGTATTCCTGCCCCTCCATAGTAAACTGGATCAGTGAGCTGCTCTGGATGAAGGGTATTTTTCTCCTTCCCTCCACCCTGTTTTGGCTGGGATTTTTTTAACCCAGATGAGTAGATCGCTTTACCGTGCGGCCGTATCGG